TTCTTCTTCCTTTTCCTTTTTTTCCTTTTTCCTTTTTTTTTTTTTTTTTTTTTAAACAACATGAAGTAAAAGAGAAATTTGTTTTTCCTTTTTTTTGTTAAATGTTAACAAACAATCTGAGTTTTTTTTTCTTTTTTCTTATTTCTTCCAATTTTAATGAATCCTTTGGGTGATGATGATGATGATGATTTTTAAAATTACGTATTAATTTATCGGTCGCCATTTTGAATTCGTTTTTTTTTATTGTTTTTTATTTAATCCCGTAATAAAAAGAGAGAGAGGGAATACAAAACTCAACGTTTTTTTTAAATAATAACAATACGTCGGTCAAATCATTTTTTTTTTGTAAAGTCACATTAACACCCTTTTTGACAAACAACAAACGAGACGAAAATTTAAAAAAAAAAAAAAAAAAGGATTACAAACTATTACAACAACAACAATATGGTACGCGTGATAAATCGTGGAGTGTGTTTAATAGAAAACGACCCCCTCCCTACCTCCCCTCCACTCCCCCCAGAAAAAAAAAGAATTAAATTACACGTTAATAAAATATCATGAATTATATAATAGAGTTATAATGATATAGTGTGTGGCATAAGAAACAAACAGGAGTAACAGTGGTAGCAGAAGCCCCGGGTTGTTTTTTTTTTTCTCTGTCGGTGATTTTTCCAGACACCCCAGAGTTTTACCATAAAAATAGGGGGCACACAAAGTTTTTTCCTTATAATAATAATAATAATTTCTCACGTTTAATGGCATCATACAGCGAGGGCGGAATAATTTTAAAAAAAAAATTTTTTTATAACACGTTTAACTTCCTCTCGCGTTAAAAATTTTTCACGATAATAATAATAATAACACTCGATTACATTTATAATTAATTAATTAATTAAAACAATAATAATAATAATAATAAGTCGATCAATTGAATGAAAAAAAAAATTTAAAGTAATATTATTAAATTGACAAATCTCAAACTTAAAATTAAAGAAGGAAAAAATGATGAGTAGGGAAAGAAGGGAAAAAAAGGAAAAAAAGGAAAAAGATTTTGAAAAGATGATCTTGTTAATGGTTTCTATGAAAGAAAAATTCATTTTATATATATATATATATATATATAAAAGGTAAGAAAAAAGGAAGAAAATCAAAGGAAAAAAAAAACTTTGTTAAGAAATGATTTTGCGAGATATAAGATATAAAATATTTTAACAAACACAAAAAAAATGGAAAGAAAAATTTTTTTTTTTTTCCTTCTCATCATCCTTTGATTCGACTACGTAATTTTTTACATATTCGTCGTCATCATCAACCCCCTACCCCCCAACCCCCACACACACCCTTAAACTTTTCCTTCCTTTTTTTCTCCTTAACGTAATTTCTAACTTTTTAAATCTTTTTTTATTTTTCTCAAAGGTTTTCTTTTTCTTTAAAAAACTTTTCTTTTTAATAATTTACATTTTAATTTTTCTTATCTTTTATCATTCCCCTTCCCATCCTCTCCCCTTACCTCCCCTCCTCCCTTCTCCTCCCCGCCTTTTTAAAAAAAATTAATTATCAAATGGATTTTTTTAAAAATATTTTCGTCGTCGTCTTCATTACCTTTTCGCGTATTTCCATCACTTAACTTTCGGTCTTTTCTTATAATAATAATAATAATAATAATGGAGAATACTGGAGAATACTGGAGATGGATAGAAAAACGTTCCAGGAAATCTTATCTATTTAAAAAAAAAAAAAAGGTTTCGTGTGTAGTTAAGTGTTAATAACAAATACTACTTGAATTCTTAAATAAAAATATTTAGCACGAGTACCTTATAAATATGAGAGACGAGCGAATCCATTAAAATAACGAATACGTTATTATTATTATATATATTATACCATTTGAGGTTTCAATGCGATTGTATTCTTAATAATAATAATAATAATAATGATTGTTATTTTTGTTGTAGTTATTATGGAGGATTAAAAAACTTTTCGGGGTTTTCAAGAGTGTTTTCTTTATATTAACATTCTTATTTACACTTTTTTTTCTTTCTATGACCGTAAATCTTTAAATATGTCTTTAAAGATCCCCCTCCTTGTTAAATCCCCACAAAAAAAAATCCCAATTCTTTTTAGTACTATTATTATTATTATTATCATTTTTTTTTTACAACGTCGTCGGTTTAAATAGTAAAATCATTTAAAATTGTAACACGTAAAAAGAAAAAAAAGCTTTTAAATTTAAAAAAAAAAAAAAAATGACGGTTGAATAACTTTTCCTTTTTTTTTTATTTATTCGGTGCGAAAATCACGTCCATTAATAATGATGATGATGATGATGATAATGATAATGATAATGATGATGATGAGAGTGATAAAATTCTTCCTTTTTTTAAATGAAAAACGGTTTCGAATTCGTTTATATCGATGATAAGTGACATAAGACACATCACGTAATGTGACAAATATCTTAAGTTACCATTGAGGAATCAACAACACACACAAAAAATTCTTCCTTTTTTCTTCGGGGGAAGGGGGAGACATGGGGAGGGAGAGAGGGGAGGTCATTCGATATTTTAAATAAATAAATAAAAAAAATTTTTTTTTTTTTGAGTGTTAAAAATTACATCTTAAACGGTAGCGAAAAAAAGAATTTTTTTTTCTTTGTGCTAAACATGTCATTTCGATTTTATGTACGATTTAAATTGATCGATGAATCGATATATCGATCGATTATTTAAAATATCGATAATTACCCCCCCCCCCCAAAAAAAAATTTTTTTTTTAAATTCTCTCGATGCGCGGATGTGAAGAGAAAAGAATTTTTTTTTTTTTTTATAAACCCAAACGATTGTTATTATTATTATTATTTAAACGATCGAATTTAAGGGTTGAATTTACAATATATGTATATAGGGGTGAGTTTTTTGTCTCTTCTGCTTCGATATATATAGTAAAAATTATCGACACTTCCACGACCGGTTCCAACAGTCAAAAAAAATTTTTTTTATCGGTTGCGATTTTGAAAAATATTTAAGGGTTGAATATTTATTAGGGGATGAATATAATAATTTTTTTTTCGTCTCTTTTTTCTTTAACTTTATTTTTAAAAAAAAAATTTTTTAACGGTCATCATAGTCGTAAAAAAAAAGAAAAAGATTTTTTTTTAAATAACAGTGAACGATAATAATAATTACGATTCGTCACGTCGTCTGCTTTTTTTTCCTGACGACGGTAAACTATTAAAAAAAAAAAAAAAATTATTGTTTATTATTATTTTTAGCAGGTGCCGGTCAAAGTATTATTATTATTATTATTATTATTATTATGTTAGTAAGGTATGATGAAATTGACAATGTGTCAGTTAAACATAACAACAAAAACAACCATAACCGATTATCGGAGTTTATTAAGGGGGTTTATTCGAGTTAAAAAAAAAAAAAGGATTCTAATGCCACGAAAAATTTTTTTTAAAAAAAATTCAAGTGGCGGAAATTTTATTGTTTGATTCTTCAAACGAATTGTTCAGAAAGAAAAAAAAAATTTGTCCGAAAACGTTTGATAAATAATAAAGTAACCGATTTGAAAACTAATCGGTTTTTAACTGTCACCTTTTTTTTTTTTGACGTGTCATTAACCGATTTTTAAATATCATTTCCGTTTTTTTTTTAATGATGACGATGAGTGACAATGAATAATAATAATAATAATAATAATATTGACAATTATAGAAAAAATATTTTTTTTTTTTTTTTTACGCGCGGCGGTAAAAACCATTTTAAAAAACTCACTAAAATATCAACCACCTAAAAAAGAAAAAAAGTTTAAGAGGGGTTGTATTAGCTGTATCGTTCAAGGGGTGAAAATAGAAAATTTGATAAAACGGCAAAAATGGGGCGGAGCATTTTATTTACAAAATTTACTTTTAATGTTTTCCCCTATCTACCTCTCTCTCTCTATCTATCTATCTATCTCTCTTTCTCTCTCTCTCTCTCTCCTTCTCTTTTTATTTTATCATGTATAATGTTTTGATTCTGTTCGTGTTTTTTTTTACTCTGGAAAAATTTAATTTTTCTACAAACGGTGATTTCCGGTTTAAAAATTTTTATTATTTTAAAATTTAAAAACTCGCGCGGATTTTTTAAATTTATGACGTCACAAGCCCAATAATAATTATTATTACGTAAATTTTTTTTTTCATATTTTTTTGCGGAGGGTAGTTTTGTTTTTTTTTTTAATAATAAAACAAATATATTTATTATTGCTTAAAGGGGACAAAAAGGAGGGGGAGGAGGAGATAAATTTTTTCCCAATAATAATAATAATAATAATGATGATAGTGTCGGTAATGCGCAAAATCATAGGTGAAAATTGAATGTCGAACGAAAAATATATAAAATTCACATAAACCCTTTTTACACTAAATTGAAACGTTTACTTAGTGTAAGAAGGGATCGATGCGTTATAACGTGAACGCGTGTAAACGTGTCCATTTTGCACGGGATTAAATAACGAAATAGGGGATGAAAATTATATAATATTCCGTTTTAGAATTAGAATGCAACATAAGGGGAATAGCGATAAGGGTGGGTTTTTATTTTTTATTTTATTTTATTTTTTTTTTTCGGTTTTCTCCTCTCTTAGTCGGATGGTTTTTTTTTCTTTTTTCCTTTTTTTTTTTTGTTTGTTTGTTCATTCTTTCTTTCTTTCGTTTCGTTTTCGTTTTTCGTTTTTTTTTTTTATACATATACTTTTTCACATTAAATTTCGTACACGATATGAATTCGTTACTTTATGGTTATACCATTTAGTGGTTATCTTTAACCCCCGTTTAACGCACACGACTATAACTTACGTCATATCCGTTTGTTTTTCATTTCTATCGGGTTTTTATTTAAATAATTATTATTATTACTATTTCGGGATTTGTTTTTTTAAATATCGGAGTGTTTTAAAAAGTGTTTTGTTTTTTTTCGGTTATTAACTTCCGGTTATCGTGAAAAAAAAAAAAAATGAGTGACGAAGAAGATGTGGAAGTGAATGTTGTTAGCGAAACGGAAGAATCATCAAACGATGATAATAATAAAAAATATAAAGAAACATCATATGCAAAAACTAAAATAAATTATTTAAATAAAAAACCGGAAACGAAACTTAATTTTACAAATAAAATAAATTTAATTAAAAATACGAGTCCGGATGTAAAAAAAAAAAGATTAGATGATTTTCCTGAAAGAAAATCCGACGATTGGTTAGAATTAAGAGGAATTGATTTTGAACAATGGAGAAAATTATCACATCAAAAATTTGTTTTCGAACAACAACAGCAACAACGTACATCGAATTCGCCTAATTTAGATGTTAAAAAAACGGAAATGACACAAACGGAATCACCGAAAAATAAACAGGAATCATATTGCGAAAATTTATCACGGGGTAGTATAGAACTTAGAAGAATACAATTAGGGGGTGATATTAGGTCTAAAAGTCCGATAAGAACGAGATCCCCGGATCGTTTAAGAGAAAGATCAAAATCACCGACGCAACAACCGTCGCCATCGATAATAGATGTTAAAAATGGGAAATCATCACCGGAAATGAAAAATTATAGGTGTTCTAAAAGTAGATCTAGATCACCATCACCGAGATCTAAGAGTCCTCAACCATCATCGACACCCAATCCCATGTACACATCATTTACAATATCTAGTATATTAAGAAGGACGGATTCAAGTGCTAAGAAAAATAGTAGTAGTGGTAGTAGTAGTAGTAGTTACGGTAGTGGGAACGTGCAACAGAATTTTGTTTTGGATGCTGCAACAAATTTTTTAACACATCATCCGGCATGTACGGATCCGACAATGTTATCAAGGTGAGTTACTTAAACAATTATAATAATAACCGCCGCCATTTTTAAATATTTAAAAATTTTTTAACAACAAACGTTTGTTGTCACGCGTGAAATAATTTCAAACGTAACGTAAAAATTTTTCTTTTGGTACACACCACCCCTCTTGTTACGAGACAACAAACAAGCTCCTCCTAATTACCTTACCATCCCTAACAATAATCATTCTACCGTTTAATACAAACACCCAACAAACAAGCGTTAAATGCAAATATTATGGGGCGTGACCCGTCGGCGGTCTACAAACATAACCAACATCCGTCGTCATAATCATCATCATCATCATCATCCTCCAGGTTTTCTTCTTCTTCTTCTCCTCCTCATTAATTTAAAACCATTTGTTAACCAAAAAAAAAAAAAAAAAATGGTGGGCGCGATGAATTGTCCATCATAACAAAAAATATTATTATTATTATTCGTTCTCGGAAAGCAGATGGTATAGATATTATATTGTTTTTCCTAATATTATTATTATTATCATCACGGTTAAATGTTTTTGGGGTTGTTGGAAATGGGAGTCAAATTATAATTTATGTTTGGTCATTTTTATATTCATACATATACATTCTCTACGTCTTAATTTTAAGTTATGACGTCATAACCGTCGTTACGTTAAACGTGTGACGTCGGTCGAATGAGTAATAATAATAATAATATTTTATGAATTAATTTAAGGTTGAATCCATATTTCGAATAAAAAAAAAATCATTACACTGTTAAGAGAGAGAGAGAGAATGAGAAAATGAGAGAGAGAGTTAGATGATGAGAGAGTGAGATGATGAGAGAGAGAGATGATGAGAGAGTGAGATGATGAGAGAGAGAGAGAGAGAGAGAGAGATGTAAAGTCCTCCGAGAGTTTTATATTAAGGATTTTATAATTAACCTTTTTTTTTTCCGAACATTTAGAGTAAATGGAAAATTAATATAGAACGCTTAACTTGTATTTTCTTGAACGTATTGTTTAATAGTAAAACTTTTTAAGTGCTGCTTTTGCATAATTGATTAAGATTTAACGACAACCTTTTAAGGATAATAAAAAAGGAATGAAAAAAAAGAAAATGAAAAAACAACGAATAGGGAATAAACTCAAAATAAGGAAAAAATGGGAAAAGCTCCGCATGCACACACACACAAAACAAAAATATTTTAATAAATAAATTATGAAAATGTTCTAAAAACATTGTTACCAGCCTTTGCTTTTTTATTTCTCAAGTTGGTACGAATTCTTTTGAAAAATCTCGTTCTAACAAGAAGAAAAAAAAACATTTTTATATTTAAAAAAATTAATCGTTAATTGGTAATAACGCATCGTTATCGTTTTCCATTGTTGCAAACATAAGAAAATAAAAATTAATACCGGAAATGGTAAGCGAAATAAAAAAACTTGTTTTTTTTTTGCTGGAAAAATATAATTTATTTTTAATTACTCTCCAGACTTTATCCGTGTTTTTCCTCTTTTCCCCTTTTTCCCTTTTCTTTTCTTTTCTTTCTCCAGTTAAAGTAAAATCGTAATTAAAAATTCTTAATTTAAATTTTTTTTCCTTCCTTCCTTCCTTCCTTTCTTCCTCTTCTTTTGTTTTCTTTCTCTCTCTCTCTCTCTTTTTTTTTTATATAAATCTGGAGTAAGTTGAGGGTAAAATAAATAGAAAATTGAAAACAAAATTATCTTGAGAATACTCTTTTTAAATAATAATAATGATAAAAGTTTTGTTTAAAAAAAAAAAAAAGAAAAAAAATCTTTTTGCCTCATAATCCAAAAACCACTTCAAAAACGCTCAAGAATATCTTCTTAATTTTCCCCCTCCCTCCCTCCCTTCCTTCCTTCCTTCTTACTTCTCCTCCCACTTTTTTTCCTTTTTTTTTCTTTCCATTTTCTTCCTTTTTTTCGGGTTTTTTTAATCAAAAACAAAAGGAAAATTAAGAAAGAAAAATTAATTTGTTTTCATAATCGTAGTAGTAATAACGAGGAAAAAAAAAATTTTTTTTAATCACTTGTTTACATTCGTCCTTTTAAAAATGGCGGCGCGTTGGAAAATTAATTTTAAACGTGATGATGTCGGCTGTGACGTCACCGTATTAATTGTATTAAATATATTGCCGTGATTGATCGATCCCGTTGTTAAAAATTCCCGCTCTTTTTTTTTATACCGAAAAAAAAATTTATTAATCATTCATTCATTCATTCATTCATTCCTTAAAAGAATTACATATATTGATGTAATTGATAATGATGATAAAAATAATTTTTTTCTAAATTAAATTGAATTCGATTCGGATGAGATGAAGAGAAGGAGAAGAGGAGAAGAAGAAAAGGGAGAAAATTTTTCTTTTTTCTTTTTCTCTTCTCCTGCCCCCTGTTCCTCCCCCTCTGCCCCCCCCCATTTGCGACAACGGAAAAATTAGATTTTTACAACAACAACAACGTTTTGGAGAAAGTGTAAAAGAACGTCAAGGAAAAGTTTTTTTTTTTTTTTCTATGAGGGAGGAGCTTCACTTTCTCCACCCTTGATGATGAGAAAATCGTTTCAATGCTTTCCCGTGGAAAATTTCTTTAGAAAGTAAAAGGAGAAAAAGAAAGAAGGAAAGAAAGAAAGAAAAATAAAATGATGATGATGATAATTTTTACTTTTTTTTTTTTACCCGCCGCTCTTGTTTTTTTTTTCTTTTCTTTTCCAACGTTTTCCTTTTATCCGAAATTGTTTTCCCCAAAATTTTTTTTCTAGGTCTTTAACTTAAAAAAATATACGGGATAGAAAGAGATAGATAGAAATAAAAATAGAATGGTTTGGAAAGATAAAAAAAAAAAAAAACCAAACGGAAACTTTATTGCACTTTATAAAAAAAAAAACAGTTTCCGACGCCATTTTGAAAAAAAAAAATTCAAAATAAAATTTAATTCCACTTAAAAGCATCGTTTATCGCCGTTTTTTTTTATTTTCTCTTCCATGGGAAAGATTTAAAAAGCGACGTGGGGGGGTTGGGGAGTGGGGAGTGGGGTGGAAACAAACAAACAAACAAAAAAAATTTTTTTTTTCTTCTTCTGTCTCCAGGTTAGGTTTAATGTCACATTTTAATGCTCTCGCAGCAGCGGCGGCAGCATCCGGAAGGAGTCCATTTTCAACAGTTTATCCCTCGGGAGGATGGAGATTTCATCAACCCAACCACCCATCATCAATGATACAATTAAACGGAAACGAAGAAAGACAAAGTCCGACAGGTAAAATAATAATAATAATAATAATAATAATAATAATGGTGTAACATTAACACGTAAAATCCAATTATGTTATTAACAAACAAACATTTTGTTTGTTTGTTTGCTTAAATAAATAAAAAATTTTTTTTAATCGATGTAATGCAATTTAACTGGAAACTTTACAATCAGGTATATAAAAAATTGTGACAAAAGGAAACCCAAAGGAAACCTTTTAAAAAATTTTCTGTGTTTTTTTGTTGTTAATCGGCTCTTGTTTTTCCCCCTCCCTTTTTTTTTTGAAAAATTTCTCTTGAAAGGCCTCATTTTTTTTTTTTAATCCGTTAAAAGTTTCGGTTTTCATTTATTGTTAAAATTAATAAAGCTTCAATTTTTTTTTTTAGGCGATTCAACGACTACAAACGAGGATCAACAAAGTCCACCGAATTCACCACCACCACCACCACCATCGTCGTCGTCTACGAATAATCAAAAAATAATAATAAGAAATTCACCATTGATTGTCGATGGTGGTAGGAGTCCGAGTCCATCAAATTCTCCACCGACAAATTTTACCGGAAGTAATACAACCGGTTACGTTAATTCGACACATTTACCAACAATAATACATCATCATCATCATCACTCTACTCCAACATTTCCATCACATCCTTTTGATAATTATCATCACGGTATTGGTGGTCTCGGTGGTCTGGGTGGTATCGGTGGTATAAGTAAAATAAGTCAAAATAATAAAATCGATAAGATAAATCAAAATACGGGAAATGCTGAAAATATGATATTGGATGATTCGTCCGACATTGATGATGATGATGATTTTAATTTAAAAGACGATGATAAAAAAGATGATAATAATACATCTTCGAATATGGATCCGAATGGAAAAAGAAAGAAAAAAACGAGAACGGTATTTTCGAGATCTCAAGTTTTCCAATTGGAAAGTACTTTCGACATGAAAAGATATTTATCGAGTTCGGAAAGAGCGGGATTGGCTGCTAGTCTGCACCTGACGGAAACACAAGTTAAAATTTGGTTTCAAAATCGTAGGAATAAATGGAAGAGACAATTGGCTGCAGAATTGGAAGCTGCTAATATGGCACATGCTGCCCAAAGGCTTGTTAGAGTACCCATTTTATATCACGAAGCCGCGGGTGGTCTAATACATCATTCTCATCATATCGCACCTACCGAATCCGGTACGAACGGTAATAATTCCGTTTATCCCGGATTGTATTATCATCATACCCCAACGAGTTTACCACCGAGTCCTGTAACGACGACTCGACCACCACTTTCTGGCTTGGTATAAAACGCGCGTGTGTGTGTGTGCGCGCGTGTACATAAGAACGAAAAAATTTACCGGTGATGATTGAAGAACAATAAACTTAAATAATAATAATAATAATTTAACGGTTGATGGTGCTTTTGGTGCTCTCGGTGGTCACCGTCAACCTCAATCGTGTAACAAAAAATTTTTTCGTCTTGCAAATATTCATTTAACGAAAAAAAAATGCCGGACGTTTTAAATTTAACGGTTTTTTTTTTTTTTAAATTTCCGCTGTCGTTCCTACGGGATATTGTCTCAGTTCGATATACCGTCGATGTATTTAACCGTCGCGATTCATGACAGGATTATAATTTATGAAATCCTTCATATTTTTGTTACAAAATGGCGACGGTTGTTCATCGCCGTTCTACTACTTTCTTCTTCCTTTACCCCTTTTATCATTTTTAAAAAAATGTACATTTAATAAATATTGTATAATAATAATAATAATTATTTATTTATTAAAACGCGATTTAAAAAAACCTGTACTAATAATAATAATAATAATTATAACGATAAATCGAAAATGAATGTGTAAGTGAAATATAAATATATATAAATAAAAAAATTCTGTACTTAATTGATTGAATTTTTTTTTCTTTGTCGTCTGCTTCCTTCCGATTTCCTAATTAGGAAGAAAATTTTCCAGGATTTCAACCGACTGGAAAATTTACGAAAAAAAAAATTGTGAAATGTTTTTCGTAAGTCGTCGAGTATTGAAAAAAAAAATTAAAATTAAAACTAAAAATTTAGCCGTTAAAAAATTTATAATAATAATAATAACCTGAATACGTCACTGATTAGTTAATATTAAGGGTTGAACAGGATCGATTAAGGCATTGAAAAATTTCTATGGAAAAAAGGAAAAAAAAAGAAAACTTTTTGTCTGGTGAAATTTGAAACTGATGATGATGATGATGTCGGAGAAAAAAAGAGGTAAACACACGGTGATGATAATGATAATAATGATAATAATGATGATTTTTGAAGTATAAAAAGGGATTCATTAATCAATACTCTTAACTTGTCCACTTGGACGATCGTTATCTTAATAATAATAATAATAAATTTCTATTTGATTCTGCGCGTAAAAAATTTTTTTCGCACTTTTTTGTTTTTTTACAGGCGACCGAAAAAAACGCGTTAAAAAATCATCATCATCATCATCATTATTATTGTTTTGTTTTTGAGCGGAAGGGGGGGGGATCCGCCGACGGTGCCGCCAAAGGAAACCACCTGTACATTAATGCGTTTATAAACAAAACGATTGATTTGCTTTTAAGAGAGAGCATAAAACTTCTGCTTCTTTAACTTAATCGAATGTTCAAAATAATAATAAAAAAATAAATGATGATGATGATGATGATACGTTGTGGGGAATGGGGGGAGAGAGGGGAAAGGGGAGGAGAGGGATCGGATAAAAAAAGAAAAAATTTCATGTTATAAAACGAGTTTATGAAATTAAACACCTTAAAATTTGTATAAAACATTTTTATAAAAGAAAAAAAAGGGATTCCGCCCCATGAGTTCCTGTCAAATTTTTAAGGGCAAATGCTTACCCCCCACCTCCTTCTTCCTCTTCTCCCCGCCATTGTTATCCTCCTCATTTCATAACCAAAAATCAATTGATTCAAACAATCGTATACATTTGCTCACTTTTGTGTGTGTGCGTTTCTCTCTCTCTCTCTCTTTCGAATCACACACCGAAAAAAATTATTATTATTATTATTATTTAATTTTATCTTTATCAATTGGACGTTATTAAATTTCAAAATGTCGTCATCATCATCGTCGTCGTCGTACCTGATAAAATTTCAGATCGTTTTTTTTCCTTATTTTTTGTGTATAGGTGCGCGTGTTGGCAATCGTGAAAATTATAAAGTTTTTCATCGGGGGTGAGGGGAGGGAAGGAAAGGGGGAGGGCAGGTGGGGTAATCGTTTGTTTATAAACAATTCCGCCATATTGAATTAAATTAAAAAGTGTAAATTATGTATAAATTATGTTTCGCTTATTGAAAATAATAAATTTTTCAAATTAAAAAAAAATGTTTTTTTTTTAATACTTTTATCCACTCTCTCTCTCTCTTTTAATTTTTTTTTTATTTTCGTCTCTCTCTTTCCCCTCCCTCTCCCTCTCTCCTTTCCTCTCCCTCTCCCTCCTTCTCTCTGTCTTTTATCTTTTCAAATTTTAAATAAAAAAAAAAAGAAAGAAAGAAAGAAACGCTATTGAAAAATTTAACACAAAAGAAAAAAATTTTTTTTTTTTTTTTTAATAATTGAAAATATTTAAAAAGAAGTTTGTTACGTATTTTAATTAAATTTTAAAACTGTGTTTTCTTAGATTGCGTCTTTAAAAAAAAAAGAAGGAAAATTTTTACGTTGAAATTAGAGCAATGTTTAATTTTCAATTTCTTTTAGTCGATTGTGGTAATTGGACGCTCGGGGGCCCACGGGGGCCCTTTTTTTACCCTAAATTTTTTTTTTTCTTTTACGTTTTTATTTTGTTTGTTTTTTTTTTTTGTATCTTTAATAGGATTTGGTAAATTATCAACTCGAATTTCACGCCTCCGAGTTTATATTTCTTTTCTTTAAATTGTTTGTTCTGTCATTCTTTTCTTTTTATTCTTCTTCTTTTTTTATTCGTTTGTTCTTTTCTTTTTTTTTAAATAAAAAAGTTTTATTATTTATTTATTTAATCGTTCCCTCCCTCTACTATTATTATTTAAAAAAAAAAAGAATTCATTTCGATATATTCATAAAAAAAAAATTTTTTTTTTTAACAAACGAATTATTTTTTTAAATCGACGAATAAAAACCCTTTTAAACAAACAAACAAACAAACAAACAAACGTCTTGTTAAACACACAAGTTAATATAATATTACAACCTAATTAATTATTTAAAAGAAGAAACATAACGAAACTTACGCATAAATGAATCGATATATAAAAACTAATAAAATTCATCCCCTAATAATAATAATAATAATAAATTTTTAGTTACCCTTTTATTTTTAACATAAAAACCATCTGCCAATTATGATAAAAAGGTAAAAACAAAATTTTTATTTAAAACGCATTCGTACCTGTAAAAATTATTTTAAAAAAAACCAACAACAAACGCATTCGTACCTGAATGAATTTCTTTTTTTTTGTTGTTGTTGTATAAACCGAAGGGTTGTTGATGACGATGTCAAAAATTTAAATGTTTTTTAATTTATTGTTATTATTATTATTATTTTCACTCATAATTTTACGATAACTTGTCTTAATGTTTGTTGGAGCTTTTCCAACATTTATTCCAGATTTCGCTACCCGCCGATCCCTAAGAAATAAATGCCTGAATATCAGTGGTGATGGTGCATGCCTGATGTATAGGTTTCATCTTGTTATAACCTATAACGATGACATCACAACAATTCTTGTAAGTCTCACTGAGACCATCTTTTGGTATCTCTATGGAAACGAGTTGATTCCTGTACTGGGCTTCAGTCAGTGACTGACTTCTGTGGAGTGGCTAGGAACAGGAGAAGTGAGACTCACAGCCCCCCACAAAATATGTTCAAATGTATGTTTTGGTTCTATCTTTATCTTGCTCTCATTTTGCTCCATTACAATTATGGATCAGTTACCATATAACTTTTTCCTCAGAACTATTTAAATATCTAATTTTCCTACAATTTTCCCTTTCATGATTTTTCCTCATGCATCCCATCCTTAATGTATGCACATAACATACAAATTACAACATTGTACCTATAAACTTAAGTAATCTGAAAGCGGTTCAGAATTTTTCTAATCTTAATTGAAATTATACACTAAAAATATGGCAACATATATGTTATAATGTAACAGGCTAACATAAGAAAATGGAAGTAAAGAGTAACATAAAATTCAAATAATGGATTCTCGCTTAAAATCAGGTGTGCGGAGATTGTACATTCACCTGATGCCTTAAATTAATTAATTATAAATATTTTCATTAAACTACCTCCATTTTTATTTAGTAGGCCAGGAGGTATTTACCTCAACTACTACTTATAATCACGTTAAGAAATGTAAAATTAATAAATGGAATTTATCACACCTAAAATCAGGAGCTCGGAGATTATATACTTACCTGATACGATAAATGAATTTTTTACAAGTATTTTTACTTAGTGTATTTTATACAAAACCCCCCTTTTGGGGGGGTATTTAGCTCAACCACTTATGATCACCTCAAGAGATGCAAAATTATTAAATGGAGTATATTGTCCTTTTTCATAATTCCTCAAACCAAAATCAATTATTATTCAGGCTACCAATTCCTCCTGATTTTGATTGATTCAGACTTATTATCATTATTATTACCCAGCCTTTTGTCCGCTTCTTTGGCTGTCTGGTTTTTTTTTTCCGCCGGCACGGATACTTCAATCAGTTTTCCGCATTATGCTTCTCAGGATGATACCCGGTTTGTTGGCTGGCACAGTTCTGTCAGTATGAATTTATTGATCGTATAGAACTGTGCATGAACCTGCTGTCGTAACCGGGCTTGGAATGCGCCCTTGTACCATTCCTTGACTGATCCATTCATTCCATATTCGCGACAAATATTATTTTATTGTGCCTCTCCAGATATTCCATTGGTTTTGCCAATACCGGAAAACCGGAAATTAAATGGTTGATGGTTTTCGACTGTGATTGGCAAATTCGGCACATGTCATTTTTGCGAACTTTGAGAATTACCTTCTCATAGTTATGGATCCGCAAGGCCTAGCCTTGAGCAGCTGTTGTTATTATTATTATTCGATAAGAACAACTTTATTTTTAAGGGTTGTTAAAGAAAAACAAAAAAAAATTTTTTTTTTATTTATTTTTAAATAAAAGTGTTTGTTTGCTCACAATAGATTTAAGTAAATTATTTTTTATGTCGGAATTAATTAAAAGAATGATTGCCGGGTGGTCGGAACAAACAACAACAACAACAAACTCCGTCATATA